AGATGAGGCTGATGAGTCGGATGATGGAATGTCTTATTTTGAGGAAGAGGAAACTAAATCAAGATTTACAAGCTATTCCATGACATCATCTGTAATAAGGAGGAATGAAGGTTAGGAAAAGAAAAAAAGTATTATTGTATTGTTAGGTATGCCCTATAGTGCAAACTTCTGATATTATGTCAAACAAACAGACAGAGATAAATAGACAGAAAGACAGATTGACACATGTCAAAAAGATTTTTGAATGGCAGACTGACAGAGGAGAGAATGAAGCAAGGAGACAGACAAGCGGACAGACTAACAGACAGAATGAGAAGCAGACAGGTAGACAGAGTGACAAGCAGACAGACAGACATAGAGTGACAAGCAGACAGACAGACAGAGTTACAAGCAGACAGACAAGTGGTCAGACAAAGAGACAAAGAAAGAGACAGACAAACCAATAAACAGACAATTAGACAGACAGATAGGCAGCACACAGAAAACTAACTGTTCAAAAATATCAAGAAAAGGGGAATTTTTATGTCATTGAACATTTTGTAAAGAAACTTATTATGTTTATTATAATTTTCATAACTCGAGTCTGGTTATTTTCTTTCTAGGTTTGCAACTTATTGATGAGAGATTTGAAAAGGTATCTTTTTGTTGAACTCCCTTCTTACAACAATGATAACCTATATACTCCAGTTTAAAGATACTAACATCACTTACATAATAAGTAGTACTTACAAAACAATCATGATTTGCACTTACTAATGTCCATAAACTTATATTTTTTTTCATACACTTATGGGTGGACCTGGTAATATTTTGATCCATAGAACTTATGTTGTTATTTGATTGATATTTATGTTTTTAGTTGATGGAGGAATATGATGAAGATGAGATTGGAGCACTGGATCATGAAGAGTTAGAAGGCTCCATTCAGCCAGACAGTAAAAGGCTCAATGCTCTTGCTGAAGAATTCATTGAAAGCCAACAAGTACAAGAGTGAGTTCTAAAAAACTGATTAACTTGGTGACAATTGAGTGATGGGCATTGCATGATAATAACAGGAGCGGTGTACTCTACTCAGGGCCACAATGCCACCCATTGGATATCATCAGGGTTCTTAGTAAGATTTGAAGTAGGTGTCTGCTCAACCTTAAGTAGGTGGCATTAACACATTGGGGTGTGGTAGGGTCCCTCAAAACAAGGGGGGTCTAGAGGCATGCTCCCCCAGAAAATTTTGAAATATGGAAGCTCAGAAACATAATTTCCAGCCTTTCGGGCATTAAATTTTTTGCGTCTGAGTGCGCTTGGCCACCATTTTTAAAAAAAAAGAGAGAGACTGTGTGGGCCTGGAATTAGATATTTCAATTTTGAAGGGCTGGGCTCAAGTGAATGTTGCTTACCAGGATGTTTACATCATTGAAAACATGGCAGTTGTCACATATCGAAGCACCAGCAGGTGTGTTTTCTTTTTGTCTTATATTGTACAAGGTATGACAATAAAAACTCACAAACATGGAAGGAAGGTGAATAGGGATATGTAAATTCATTGATCCATCCTATGGCCCAAAGTGTTGACCAGATGATGTACAAAAATTGTATTTTACAGTTCCACCTATGCATATTTAGTTATTATTTACTGACTGCAAATTATTTCTCCTAGTTTGTCTGATGTTAAGGAGAGTATACTGGTCAGAGGCCATGATAAGAATGAAGACAGTGACAGTTCTCCAGATGAACTGGTCAAAGTTGCAGAGGAGCCAAAGGAGAAATGGGACTGTGAATCCATTTTAAGTGAGTATTTATGTCGGAAAATAATTATTAGCCTAATGTTTTGTGATATGAAGGAGTTAGGGTTTTTCAAATCTCAAAAAGTTTTGCTCAGTTTTTCAACTTCACCTGTTTTAACATTGCTATGAAGAACAAATAGAATGCCAACATTTATTTTTTTCTGTTATTCTGTATGGTGTCAGAAAGAACATATTAGGCCATACTTGCACTTGTTGATACCCTGAGATAAAATGACATCCCATCTTTAAAAATTTTTCAGTTGTTAATAGAATATATTTATTTTTATTATTTTATGATCCACAGTTAGTCAGCAGACTGGTGTTCTTTGTTCACTGGTTTAGCGTTACACTTGTGGGACAGTGACTAAGTCACGACTCTTGTAACTGAGCTCCTTGTTTTAAGGTGCATCTGTTACTTCTGAGTGTGATTTTGTTCTTTTGCTTCTTTACAATTTAGTTTGTGTTATGCTGTTTAACACACACTCTGAGAAGTGGAGAGACAGTTTTAGATTACAACAATTTCGTCACTTTTTGTAAAAGGAAAGAAATGATTAAGATGTTTGCCTTTTAACACTCTAATGTAAATAAATTTTACCATCATCACTATTAGGTACTTATTCAAACCTGTACAATCATCCCAAACTAATTAAAGACACTCCAAGGGTGAGTTTCTTATCACTTAAATTTGCTTCTTTATAAATTTACAAACGGTTTTTTTTTAACAATTATAGGAATTATTTGATTATTTTCCCCGTTTGACAAAGTTCTTTGGCATACGAGTCCTGTTTTGAGATAGGATAGAATCAAGAAGACAACTGACAATTTTCAATATCAATACGGGATTGGTTCAGAAAAATCACAGCACCTGGTAGACTAATCAGATTAGACAAAAACTAATCAATCAATAGATGTTTACTTTGAGTTCTCATTGGCTTTATTGTGATATTTGCCTTGGTCTGATTGGCTTTCCCGCGCTTTACGTCGGTAACGTGTGTTTACTTTGAGTACTCACTGGCCCTTTGTAATAATTTCCTTGCTCTGATTGGCTTTCCTGCGCTCTCCGACGGTGAAGTGTGTTTACTCTGAGTTCTCATGGGCTCCTTGTGATAATTGCCTACTCTGATTGGCTTTCCCGCGCTTTACGTCGATGAGGTATTTTTTTACTTCGAGTTCCGTATGATGTTTCCAAGGGTTTCCCGCGCTTTACGTCGGTGACGAGTGTCTACTTTAAGTTCTCATTGGCTCCTTATGATATCTACCTCTTCTATGATTGTTTGTTGTGACTACTTCGGTTTTCGCTTTACTGTTTTTGGTTCCCTTTAAGGTGAAGCCGATAAAACTATCCAAGGCTGGTATTCCACTTGGTGTGCTTTCGCAATTCGGTGTATCCAACAAGAATGTGCAAGTCGGCGAACGCAGCGATACAGAGGAGACAGAAAAGCACGTTTCTCGCAACACGGTCAGAAGCAAAGATGAAACTAAAGAAGAGAAAAAACATAGGAAACAAGAAATCAAGAATGATAGAAAGGTTGGTATTCTTTTGAATGAAGAATTTCCCACATTTCTTTACACATGTTTTGCATAGGGCGAATTAATGAGGAAACTCTGCAACTGTGCTACGGTTTGTGTTTCTTGAAATAAAGTGACCTTAAGGGTTAGCTCCTTAGTTGCAGTCCTCTCTATCATCACTGACAATCCATGTTCCTTCTTAGCCTAGTACAGCCTCTGTATTTGTTCTTTTTCTCTTACTTAAATAATATTTTCTGGTCTCCTTAAATCTGAGGTTGATGCTGCAGATCGTAGATCGCGAACTACACATCCTTTGGTTTAAAGTAACTTGCGCCTTGCGTTCTTTTCTTATTACTTATTCATTTACAACTGTATATTTTTTTGTTTAGAAGTGCTCAGGTTTTTTTTTTGACGGCGTTTAGTTTTCAAACACTTGCCATGCCTAAAGGTAAAGAAATAAACAGAACTGACTTAAATTTGTCTTTTTTTTTTTTTTCGTTTACTAGGTGCGACGGATGGAAAAGAAAGCGAATAAGATTGCTTTCAAATCCGAAAAGCAAAGACAAGAGCAGTCCATGCTGAATACAAAACAACAACAGGGAAAGAAGCTCTGATACCTGTACATATTGCAAACGACAATTGAAAAAAAATCAATTCCTACATACGCCCGTATAATCCCGTGGTTTAAAATTTTAATCCTAGAAGTGCTCCATGAAATTCACGAGAACGAAACATTTTTCAGGTTCTTTTAATACGAAAAACGGCGGTAAATGGGAGCTAGAAACCTCTGCTCTTCTACAGCTCCCAAAGCTTTCGGAAATGCAGCCCTTGGTGGTAGTAAAGCGAGGAAATGAAATTCAGGAACACCGGTTCCTTGGTATCCCATTATTGAACGTACAAATATAAGTTGCGCGCGCTAAGCGTAGGAATACTCATGTGTTTATACGTTGTCGATTTCATTGGCTGGAGGAAGTGTATTTTCCAACAGCAGGTAATGCCTGGTGAATGCCTCTGCTGACGCACGTTACCCGATTTTGATTGAACTAAAAACCTATTAAGAGCTCAGAAAACGAAAGTCAAATATGACCGTGAGGCATTATGGCGCATACTAAGCTTTACATCGCCTTACTGCCACCAAATTCTTCTTGCGTTGGAGTTGTAAATATTTAGTGCTTAGTACAACTTTTAATAATAATTTTTTTACCCGATATTGTAGTACGTTGTACAGGAAAATGATATTGAGAACATCATGAATATGCTGAGGGTTTAAACTTGTCTTAGAACTGACGTTTAATAGTAAAAAAAAACAAAACAAAACAAAACAAAAAAGCCATTTCATCCGAAACGGAAAGAAAACTTTCCTTGGTTCGAAGTGAAATGGTGATATGAGAATTCGCTATTCTTACATCCTACTTAATTTTCTTACATCCTACTTTAAACTGCCTCTTTTGCAAAGGTAGGTAACCACCCCTCCAATAGAACACGTAAGTCTGAACTAAGCGTCTGCTCTAAACTCCTCTTTCCCCGGTCCCAGCTTTCTCCTGGACTCCACGTGTACTTCCGAAACTGAATGGTGATCGAAATATTTACACCTTCCTTTCTAGTAAAGGATGAAGATTTCTGCTCTAGAAATAGAAAGTTGATCTTCCTGTCAGTCTGAAATTTGTTATCAATCCGGAAAGCCGGACATAAACAATGATGTCACCGTGACGTAGAGACCACACCACCGATTTGTGATCGCAGGCTCACACCGGTTTACGCAAGAGCTTCGGCCATCTTGACTGTGAACGCTTGGTACAACGTAACGGATAAGACTTTCTGCGTCCAGTATGTCTTCAAGAGCACAGAGGGATAAAGGACAGGCACAGAACACAAATCAGGCTATTTTATCAGAGTTACTGAAAGAGGAAGAGAATAGATACTGTGCCGATTGCGGGGCTAAAGGTAAACTAAGTTTGGAATGTTGTATAACCTTTTATTTCCGTGACAGAGTATCTCTGTTTCTTACGCTCCTCATGCTTCCTGGTGAATGATGTAGTTTTAAACTTCTTGTTTAGGGCCTCGATGGGCTTCGTGGAACCTGGGTGTTTTCCTGTGCATTCGTTGTGCCGGTATACATCGAAATTTAGGGGTACATATATCAAGAGTGAAGTCTGTGAACCTTGATTCATGGACTCCGGAACAGATGGACGTAAGTTGAACTTTTAACCACTGATTTCATATTTCTGCTGGTCTTGGTGTTATTCTCGCTTTGAATTTGAGTATTTTCGTTTTCAGAGCATTCAGCAGTGGGGAAATAAACGAGCAGCAGAGTTTTGGGAATGTTATCTGCCGTCCGACTTTCGCCGACCGCAAACTGACTCGTACCATTCAAAAATACCGCTCATGTGTATCACTGCGATTGTTTGGCCTTATCTTTTTTAAATTTAGCAGTCAATACTCTTGTTTTCCAGCTAGCATATTCTTTTTATTGCTTAATTTGCTTTAACTTTCTTTCGGCAAAATTTAGCTTCGTACTTGTTGCGAATTCAACATTGTCTTGATGTAACTTTGATCACGAACTAATCACGTCGAGGTCGTTAACCGTAAACACGATTCAATGGCGTTTCATACCATTTTAAATGCACCGATTTTGAAACATGTTCGTCTTCTATTGAGAGGCGGGGCTGTTTGGGCGTTTAGGTATTGTTCCTGTGGTAGTAAGGGATCGATGGCATTCACTGGTTATAGTTTACGTGATACCGCGCGTTTCGAAGGCGATAACTGAGCATTCCAATTCGTTTGCGTGCTTTGAAATTTCATATTTTACCGATCGTTCAATTTGGTCTAATATCGTCTAATCTTTCGCCACACGCGTCGAATTTTCTTTGGCACTTCGTCAATTCTGGCGAAAAGAATCAGGAAGTCTTAAACGAGTGATTACCCTCTGCAGTTTCAAAAACCACTTTACTCAATGCTCTTACTAGTTCAGCTGTTTTCTCCAAGTTTGTAGCGACAAAATCGAATTCATTTTAACTGGAATGGCGAATGGGCATTTTCTGGTGGTAAAATAGGTTACCAAGGGTGACATCTTTGTTGAAAAATTTTAGTTTGAAACAAACTGAGAAAAACTGGACTCATTCCTTGTATGATAAAGTCTGCTTTCTGTAAGTCGTCTGGGATGGAATACACTGATGTTTGTTTTCGAAAATTGTTACATTTTATAATCATCTCTCGTACAATTACATTTGAATATGTTGCATTATGTTTTCATTGTTTAAACGTATCTGCTTAACAAAAATTCTTAATCATTTTGTGAATAGAATGAATGACTACTGTTCATTTGCCATTTTTTTTGTTGTTTTTCTTTTTTTCTCTCTTGGAATCTACAGAACAGTAGAGGCATTTATCAGAAGTAAATATGAACGAAAACAATATTTAAAGAAAGACGGATTACCTCCAACTAGATCCACCTCAAATTCTGCCAAAGAAACAAAATCTTCAGACAAGGTAATGGGTAATGACAGAGGTTCATCAGTTGCTGTGTGAGGGAAGTCAAAAGGTTTTTAAAACACTAAATTTAGTGGCACCCTCCCCCCCTCCTTTAAAGAAAAAAAAAGAAAGAAAAAACAGATCACATTATTTGGTTAAGAATCATGTAGATCCATGGATTTGTGAAAAAAAACTTTCTATGGTGGCTTGGCTGCCAATTTTGGTGTGAAGTAGTTCAGTTCCGAGTTAAGATTTGAGATTTCAGAATGTTAGGTTTCAGGTTGGTTCTGGTTGTTAAGTTGTAACCAAGTTTTTTTGTATGTTTACTTCATGAGATATATTGTTTCTGAAACAGAGGAAAAGGAGGGAAAAGAAGGAAGAAGGCATATCTATAACCCCTCTTAAAATTGAAGCTGAAAAGAAAGTAAGTTTAAGTATCATGAATTATTTGAATTCAGGCTTGTATTGGGCATGAACCTGTACTCTTATTTTGGAAGTTAGAATCAGTTGGTGGTTGCCACTGAAATTTTCTGCTATGTGTGGCTTGGTTGATGACAGCACCTCAACACTGTCTTGGGGGCCAGTGTTCAAGCACCTTTGAATCCTGGGTTTTTTAAATTTTGTTTTGAGGTTAATTGCAATTGAGATTAACTAAATAATGCATCTTAACAGGCAAGTTGTCTTTCACCATAACATCATTCATTTACTTGCCTTTTTATTATAATAGGCAGAAGATCGTATTGAAACTTAGTAGAACCAATGCAAACTATACTGTTCCTAATCACTTTGCTCCACTAACAAGCAGTGTAAACATAAAGGTTTTGTAATTCAAAGTGCTGTGGAAAGTTAGCCTAATGTTTTAAGAGGTCTTTTTGCAGAAGATTAAAGGAGTGTGGAAGGAAGGAAGGTTTGTTCAGTTATTGGAGATAGGAAATTTTGAAAAAATAAATCTTGTAACTTATTTATTACTTTGCTTTCTCTCTTTTTGTAATGAAAGGTTGCTCCTGCTGTCAGTTCAGTGGCTCAACCACGCCCACACTCCCACCCTCCCCCAGTAAAAGCACCTGAACCAGCCAAACCTGCTGCTCTGGTTGATCTACTGTCCTTAGACACCCCAGCACCTGCCCCAGCCGGAGCACCTGCACCAGTCAGTTCTGCTGGTTTGCTAAATTCTCTTGCCCAGCCTATGCCTGCTGCTTCACAACCTGCCAAGACTGGTTTAGAGAGTGAGGTAAATGGTTTGAATTCAGTGGTCTTTTCACCAGCCAGGTTGTTGGGTTTACTAAACACAAGTGTCTCATGAGGACCCTCGAACATGGGAATGTTATGTTTTTCAGACAGTTTGGCTATCATTGGAAGAAATTTAGCTTGCCTTCTCTGTTTTGTTCATTATGTTGGTTGAGTTTTTATTGTCATTTTTTTTTTTTAACTCAAGATTTTACATATGGAAGTTGTCATGCTCTCCACCACTTGATATCTTTGTTGTGACAAACTTCACCTTTGTAGAGGAATGAAAAAAAATTTTGTGTCCACACCACTGGACTAATTCAACAGTTAAGCACAAATTTGGCTCCTACTCTTGCAGCCTAAAAGTGCATGTAACAGACCACGTTTAGCTCTTTACATTCATATTGTACATTTATTTTTTTGTTGGACTGAATCGTCACACCCTTTAATTTCAGTCAATTTTGTTTTGTCCACTGTGTTTGTTTATTTTTTGCATCACTTGTATTTGTTTTAGCTGATTGATTTTGGTGCATTTCAAGCAAACACCACAATTGACACTGGCTTTAGCCAATCACAGCAGGTAATGATATTGCCTCTGCCATTTCACATCACACCTTCCTTTTGTTAAAGTGACAATATAGAATATTCTCTTCTTCTTTAGTCTGACAGCCAATCACATAACAAAAATTACCTGTCTCTGTCCATAAAACAGCCACTCTTAAGGACTACAGGCTGCATGACCTACTATGATTAACACATTTAGTTTATTTTACAATATTCACACTGCATCTGATGAGTTATTGATGTAGACAATAAATATTGTTTCTAAGTTTTGGTAATGTTTCTTTACTAAATTACTACCAGCAGCTCAACACACAAGTACCTCAAGAATCAAACCAAGAATCTCTTCTTAAAGATGACTCTACAACCAATAAGTCAACTAAAGGTAAGATACAATTTGCATGTCTCTCTATCTCATTTTAGATTTGAAATAAACAGTTATTTTGAAATGTCAGTAGGCGTATCTGTATACCCAAATATACTCATTGAATTAAGGTTTCTTGCTGATTATTACAAATAAAGAGTGAAAGATCTTCGATCCTTTTAACAACATATCAACGTGTTCTCAGTGTATGATGTTGGCCTGAAGATTAAAATCAGTGGTGACAATGTTATTGTATCCTTTGCTTTGTCTCCCACTCAGACAGTTAGGCTATTTATGAGTCCAGTATGTCAGCAGGTAATATAGTGATGACTTTGTGGGGACTTCACTGGATTACAGTTGCATTTTATCATTTTTGTTGATTTTTTCACAGACAGTATAATGGCACTGTATGCACCGAAAACACAGGGAAGTCAACCTCAAATGTATGGTGTCCCTGGTGGCATGTACATCCCTCCACAGCAACACCAGCAACAGCCTCTCCCTAATCAGCACCCAGCAATGTTTAACAGGATGGGTGCAGTTCCACCTCAGGGCGTGGGTGCAGTTCCCCCTCATGGAATGCCAGTGGGAATGGGAGTACCCCGTCAACCAGCATTCATGCAACAACAACAGCAACAGCAGCAGGTTTGTAATGTGTCTCTTGTCAGGTGTTACCGTTTGTTAGTGGGAGCTAGGGGCATAGTGCTGCCTTCCAAAATGGCTGTGTTTTTGATAATATTTGAGGGGAATGGCTGTCCTAGGGCAACCTTTTCAAAAGCTGGAAAGTTCAATGGTAGTTTCCATGTAGAAAAAAGCATAAATATGCATATCCTTGAATATCACACAAAACTCCATTAGGTTATGGCTCTTACCAAAAGCCCCTGGTGGTGAAGGATTTGGATGGTTAGAAAAGAAAAGAGGATCAGAGTTGGAAAGTGTAAACAGCAGTTGATAAAGCAGCTGTGTGTGGTTATTGTGGTTAAGGTTTGATTGCCAGATTTGATTGTAAGAAGAATTTTACTCAAGAAAAACATGTGTTGGATTATTTTCAGGATACTGTAGTGCAATGTTCAGGTGTGACTGGATATTGCACGGTTGTTGAATTCAAAATACTGACCAGTACTGTATGGCCATTAAAGAATTTTGCAAACTCATTTTTGAGTGTGAGTTTTATTTATTTTTGAGTTATGGATTATTAAATTTTTTTTCCTCTTGGCAAACAGGTGGCTCAGATTCAGCAACAAATGCAACAGATGCGACTCAAACAACAAATGCCACCTCAGCAGATGAATATGCCAAATGGAAACCCAAACATGTTTGCATCTGCACAGCCATCAGTTTCAAATGGTTGGATGCCGCAGCAACCAATGTCTTTTCCCCAGCAGCAGCATCCTCAGTTTGTCACCACTGGACCTATTCCTAATGGCATGGCAGGCTATGGAGCTTATCCAATGGGATCGGTCCCTGGCTCAGGCCAAACTCTGAGCCATCAGTTGTGGAAATAAAGAAAAATCAAGATGTTTTCAATATGTAAATAATGATCATAGTAATATGATTAATTAATATCTTGTATATTTGGTTACCGGTACCTGCACTTGGTAACTGATTCGTTTAAAAGGGCAACCAGAGAAATGTGGTTGTTTTAATGAGACTCATTTGCATGTAATCTATCTTTGGTGTAAGAACTAAGCTTTACCTCAAGCCTTATCTGGTATGCTTTTTTAATGGAATGGGTTGGAGTTAAAGATTGAGGGAATAACTTATGACAGTTATGGTTTGATTTTGATATTACATAACTATAAGATGAGGTAGTGTAAAACTAGACGATACATGCAAAGATCCTAGGTGGCGGTCTGATAATTATAATGTGCTATCTGCTTGAGAAGAAACATTGGAATCTCGTGCACATGTGCTGTAAATTCTTACGCCACGCTTTCAGACGACTTTGTTGTTGCCACCCCAAATAACCCATAACTTACAAACTTATGTAGAAAAGAGAAATGCAAAGAAAAGCAGGGAATCTTCTTTAACATATTTTGCTAGTTATGTAGCCCTGTCAAGTATGGAACTGTTGTTTCTTTCATTTCATTTATGATCATAACATTGTTTCTGTCAGTGCAATGATTTCTATTGATGTGGGGGACTGATTACGCTGGGGAATGCAATTGCCATCATCATCATCATCATCATCATTCTTAAAAGTTTCATGAGTAATACTAGTGGTATTGTTATTATAATTATTATTGTTGTGGTTATTTTCTTCAAAGTTGCCAGTTTTTGGCTGTTGCTATAGCTCAGCCATGTCACCAAGAATCTAAAAATAGTTTTGAAGCAGTAATTTTATATGTACCATACAGAAGTGGTAACTCTGGCCTCTGTGCTAAAGGAAAGCAGTTGCACAGCAAATCTCAAACCCTTCTTATAGTATGGGTTTGTCAAAAACCCTTTGTGTTCATATCTGGAAAAGGAAGTGAGCTAAAAGTTTGTTTCAGAGAGCAGGTGTATGAATAGTTTCAGTTGAGGTTCAGTCGTATATCAGAAAGAAACATTGCAAATAATGTACTTCCTGGAATAAAATTTAAACTTTTGTGCCATTTTGATTCTTAGATGAATTAAAAAAGGGACTATTCTTGAACTGTGAATCATGCAGTGCAAAACATTTTTGGAACACCCGTCTTGAAATTTCTTCTTGTCAGTGTGTTGAATTAAGTTATTGATATTACAACTGAGTGCATACTATTGATAAATTAAAAAATTTTCCTTGTCATTTCTCGCCAAAGGGTCAAAGTGATGATATACAATTTCATGCAGTTCTCTGGAGTTGTGTTCTGTTAATTGTCAGTTAACACTCTGATTCCTTGTATCCATCTCAACACCACCACTGTATTTCATGAGGTGTTAAATTTTTTGAAACTGAGGGGTATTGACCTCATTATATTTTGAGTTAATCTTTTCTCTTTAACTGAGTTTGTTTAAAATTGTGACCAGTTAATCATCAATTGTTTTTCAGTCTATTATTTTTTTGTACATTTAGCTTACAGTCTTTGCAATTAATTTAATTTTAAATGATTCTTGTAAATGTATATGGTGCTCTGTCTTTCCCTTGGCCTTCATAAGCATTACCTTGTTAATTTTTGTTCAGTTTTCATATTTACTGCATAAGCTACTGATAAAGAAGATCCCAGTTTGTACATTCAAGGTGTACTATTGACAGTTTTGAAAACTAACTGCCTTTAAATAAGAGGAAACCTTTGAAATGATTATTGTTTAATATGATGGATAGGCATGGTAGAATTGCTGCCAATAAACTTAAATTATCAATGGTGAAGGTAACATGAGATTTCGATAAAGATGATAAGCTTTGAATGTTGAACAAGTGATAAGATTGTTTAATTGAAAGAGCTTGTGGAACTTTTCAAGTCCAGCTCCAAAACATATGTTATATTCATAGTTTTTGTCTCTCATTTTCAGACTTGCACAAATCTATTGGGGGGTAAGCAATCACGTATTTTTTGTTCAACGTCCTGTTTGGCAAAAATCATATGGTGGCTAAACAATCACACATTTTTTTTATGAAGCAAAGTGTTGAATGGAAATGTTTGATTTACAGCTATACATCAAACATGGGAACATGAGAGGTAGCTGAATGCTCAGGTGTGTTGGATGATGGTGTTTGATCATTTGAGTTCAGATTCATTCTTGTGCCTTGGGAAATTAAGGTTTTTATTTTAATTTTTTCATCTTTCTCTCTTACCTTTAGTGAAAGTATTAGAGATAAGTAAGGTAGCTGTTGAGTTAAGTTGTTAACAATACTTAGAAGACTGCAAGTCAGTTAGGGAGGTAGCAAATATTGTGTAAGCAATGTAACAGAAGTAGTGGGTCTACTGAATAAAAGCTTGAGAAATGATTTGGTTGAAGTGTAATTTGATGCAGTTGAAAAGAGACCTAGAATTTTTTTTTTCTTTTATACCTTTCAGGTTTCAAGGGAATTCCCTGCTATATCTTTTATAAATTATGCATACATACATAATAAATAAGAGGAAATTTGAAAGATACAGTTCTTTAAAGGACTATCACAGATTTAACAAGAGCATTTCCTTGGATTTCTTGATGCTTCTACACTGAAGGACATTTTAGTGGAAGAAAAAATGGCTTTTGAAAGGAAACTTTGTTTGGCACAAGAGCACATCAGTCTTGCAGCTTATAACATTCCCCCTCCTAATTTAACCAATCATTGTTCAATGGTCATTGACACACTATGCAGACAGTCCTCAACTTGCCCTGTTATTTCGCAGTTGCAGATTATCAGCCAAATATCAGATATTAAACTTATAGTCTGTACAATCACCATGAACCCTTTCCTTCCAAATGTATTACCTCCACAAAGTAAAGAAATTGAATTGAAGTTGTATTTAATTTTTGGTAAGTTCTATTTATCAACAACAGCCATTGTCTTTGAGTTAAAAGAGTGGCATAGAAATAAAACTTACTGGATAAGAAAATTTTTGTTTTAATTCAGCAGCACCAGTTCAACTCTAAATCAAAAAGATACCTGAATAAATTTAATTTAAACCAAAGCATTAAAGTCTGTACATACATGTACATATATTGAGACCATAAATAATCTCATAAATTAATTCTTGAAATTTTTATAGATATTTATCTTTACAGGAATTGTTCAAAACAATTTACATAACTTAATGATGTGATACTTAGTCTAAAAAGCCAGGGTACAGAACTGTTCTATCTACAGTAATTGAAACTAATGATTGCATTACATGGCTACAATAGAAAAAATTTAAATCAACTGGTTGCTTAATCAGAATTTTACAATAAATGGTCTAAAAGTCCAAAGCCAAAAGATATCATTTATAAATGGCTCTCTGAGTTTAAAATGTACATTAAAAATTCTCTTGTGAAGTACTAAACTAGTTATTGACTGAAAAATGTTCTTTAAAATTGTGAGATAGTAAATCTTCTTGGTACAAAATAGTCAAGTACAGATGATGATGAGGAGAGTTTTAAGAAAATAATCAGTCAATCTACTTTTTGTAAATACACTTTTAAAAAAACTATGAAACTCAGGTCACGTTGACCATCCTAACTGTTGTGCAATTGAAAAGGGATCCTCATTGACTATGGCACTTCCATAAATCCTCATTCCACAAACATCAGAGGATGAACTTCTTACTCCTCCTCTGTCGACAAGGTGAGCCATAAAAGGCATTGCAATTTCACCCATCTCCAAACTCTTTTTTTTCACTTCTTCAGCTGCTGCAACTTTTCTGAGCTTTCCCTTTTCAAGAGGTGGAAAGTGAATGCACAAATTGAAACATTTTGCACCAAACTTGTTAATAAGTGCCTCCACTGCTTCACTGATTGCCTGTTTGAAGTTATCATCAAAGTCCCATGAGATGACCTTAAACTCATAGCCACAAAAAGGTACTATATGGGCAAACACACAAGCTTCTCCAAACATCTTTGCAAGCCCAAGATTTCTGTGAGCAGTCACAAGGTCATCAAAATAGTTACAGCCAGGAGTTTCTGTTGAGTAATGTTTTGCAGCCTGTTTTAAGCGTTCCCACTGCCCATAATGGAAGTTCTCTGCGAGTAACATGTGTGAGTGTCCATGGTGTTGTGAAGCTCCAGCTCGTGCACGACAATTCCAGTTCATGATTGGGTAGATTGCCAGTGGGTTGTTTTTATGGGTAACTTCAAACCACTGAGTACACAAGTCCAAAATATCACACAGTTTTTTCTAAAATCAAATAAAAAAATCAGAAAAAAATTAACTTCCAAGGTCTGATTGAGTTTGAATAATCTCATTACCTGTTTTCTGGGTAGTGTATGGATATGATAGGGAGAGGTTACAATTGTTAATCACCTCTGGATTTTAAAGGTTAAAGGTTATTTACTTTTTGGCCTCCATATATAAAAACCTCTTGAAGGAGCACCTGTTTTGCCCGCTTGTCTCTAAACTTCCACAAGAAAAAGACCAATTCTATTTATGATGAAGATAAAAAAATAAAAAGACTTCCACTAACCTTGTCCATAAGGCTTGGTGGATGTTCCTTGAATACAACCATACTATGCAATCCATCATATTTTGCAACATTGGATGCCGTCAAACCACTTGCATTTTCCAATCGACCCCACTGATCTGAAATCATATAATGTGGTATAATTCAGACTTTTTCAAGAGGATAATTACAATATGTGAACATCATGGTATTACCTGCCGCAGTATAATCAAGTGGTGTGCAGAAGTCACACTCTGGTACTTTGGAACCAAAAGGCATTTCTGCGGACTCCGAGGTAACAGGGTTTGTCTCCCCATTGTTAAGTGGTCTAAGGGCTCTTGCGCCATTAAAACAGGTTTGATTGCAGGTCCAGCGGTCAAATACTCTAACTATTTAAGATAAAATCACAAGGTTAGTTGATGATGCACAATTTTTTGCAAAGAGCTTCATCATATCCACAGACACTTAAAAGATTTCCAACAATGTTCTGCAGACTTCCACAACTGGCCACAAGAGTTCCATCATGTCTTTGCTCATAAACATTGGAGACTTCAAGGATAGTATGATCATTAAAGTAGACATTTCTTTTCTCTTATTAGTTCAAATCTAATTTCCAGGGTACATAAAGGAAAAAAAATTTGACCATGTCTTTTCAAGGTCACCTTTATCCTTCCGTCAGTCTGCAAACGTGAGATTTGGGGAATAAATTTTTTTTTTTTGTGATCTTCCCTCGCCTGTGGCTTATCTCCCCTGTAGCTGGTCTTTTGAAATATCACGTGATGCTCCCTCAGAAAGGATCAAAGGAAGCTATTCTTACCCAGTTCCTAAACATTCTCTGAATGTTTCTGTGGAACGTTTTCTACAAATACCCTAACAAATACCCCTACAAACCCTGCTAGAATCCTCAATATTCCTCACATTACTAATCACAGCGGTTTCACCCAAAGCTTCTGTCAAAACTCTTTGGGTTTTTAACTGATTGACCCCCTCTACGTCATAATCGTGATTTATTTTTTATTCAGGCGTCGCAATCTCTATTTCAGTAACATCTAAGGGATAGGAATTGAACAGAGGGGCTGTCAGCACAGCCTTCCACAAGGAAGGGGGTAGTAGGTATTCTATTTTAATAGACAAAGTTTTGCCTTTACAGAAGTTCTACATTTCTATGAAATTTGTGAATACCAACCAACAGTTTGATATTCCGCTCTTTTAATGGATTGGTCATCATTTATGTCGCCTGGGAGCTTGAACCACCGAGTCAATTTCTCCTCAAATTTTTTGGGTATAGTCATTCGACTAGACTGCGTTGATACCTTGTAAATTCGATTAAATGGACCCCATGTTTCGCAGTTTGCTCCTCCATCTCCGCTTTTGAAAAAATCTCCCAGCTCTAGGATAGATCTGACAGTTTTCCTAGTCATTTTGGGCAGGCTGCTGCTCTTCGCAGTGCAAATTTTGAAGATGCCGGTTCGAAACGTGGATAGTTACGCGCCTACTTTTTAAAGCCTTTCTGCCAGCAGATGCACCAGTTGAGCATGCGTACTTTTAACAACAAATCAAGATGGCGTCTACGGAAGAAGTCTTGGTCTGGACCCCAGAACTCGAAGTCAGTTTGTTTCATTCCATGAAAGGGCACAAGCCAGTCGGTGAGTCTGCGTTTTATTTATAAACGGAGTTTTTGTCACTGAATTTTGTAAAAGTGTTTTCTCTTTGTTTTACAGGAATAAATCGACATTTTCATATGGCGTGTATTCACGACAAATTCGCGACGTCAACTGGGAAACGAAATATTTCTTCGAAACAAATCTGGGAGCACTTACAAGAGTTGTACAATCTACAAGCTTTGGTGAGTATTCTCACCAGGATGCTTTTTCTTTTTCTAACGTTGTCTGTTGATTTAAGGAAAATCTAACCCTACTACCATCCGACTACGTTCGTAAATTTTCGTTGGAATTTCTTCACAATTTGCAGAGATGATTTATATTAGCGATAAGGAAGTTCAATTTTACAATTCAATAGTCCTTAAGTTATTTCTTTATTGTTTTGTTCATTATTTCTCTGTTTGTTTATGGTAAGCGACGAATGGGCGCTACCCAGCTAAACCGTCTCTTGAATCTGTCCTTTCGGCGAATGTTTTGTTTAAGAACCGAGAGTGCACTGGGTACTAGATCAGGAAATTAGGAACTATGAGAGAGGAATTGAGAACTGTGGAATCGGATTTTTTTTTTTTTTAAATTTGTGTTTTATTATTTCTATCTAAGGAAAGAAGCAGGAAACTTATGTTTTTTTTTCATTAATACAGGATGATCTTGAAAACCTCCCATTTCCAAATGATGAAACAGAATTTAATTTACCTGATGAAATATTTGAGTCTAATGCAAAGCCTCATTCATCGGCATCTGAATCCTCTGCTGTGGCAGATGAAGGCATGACAGGTAAAGAATAAGACTCTCTTATTTATTGCTTTAACTCCTAATAATGACTAGCACCTAATTTCTCCTTACAATATCACCCCTGAATCAAACATTTTCTCATGAGAATAGAAGAAATGATCACCAATGAAAGAAGCTCTCAACTGTTGAACAATTCTCCTTGCCAGCACTGTAGGAAATGTATAGAGGAAGGTATGGAGAATATGCAAACTGATCTAAGGGACTAAAGGGTTAGGTTGTTTTTCAATTTTCTATTATTTTTTTTTTTAAATTGATCACGAAATAAAAAAAAAGGGAATTATTTTCCTTTCCAAGGAAAATTGTGAGTTCAAAATTGGGCATTGAGAAGAACCATAAGGTCCCTTAGAAGTGCATTTTGACTCTGAATTAATTTTACTTTGCCCTAGTTTACATCTGTCTCTGTAAAATATGATAAAAATGCAATCAAAGTAAGTCATTTATTGAAAAATTACAACCTACTGTGAACCCTGGATGATTAACATTTTCATTGTGATCAATTTTTGCGATAAGCAAAGGAATTGTTGGACAAAAATTTTAAAAAGAGTTTACACAATATTTGACACAAGTTTGAAGATCAAATATTTTACATGATAGAGTGAAAAAAACCCTGAAAGTGAAACAGATAAATTAAGGTGCTTACCCAAGGTTAGAAAAAAAACTGAAAAAAAAAAAAGGAAATAGTTTAAAATTCAGATTTGTATCCCTACTGTTGTTGGATATTGTCTTAACCCCCTTGTTTCCCAGATCTTGACTATTTTACATTTCCTGTGTTTAATAAATTCCTTTCAATACTACAATTTCCAATTTATTTTTAAATCATATCAGCCTCCTTGCTGAAAGTTTTCTTTATTCCCATCACTGGTCTGCCCGATAATGTGTTAATGGCGTTAGGAGATTTTCCTTGTTGACCTCTCCTGAGAGTGAAAGGGTCAAGAAACCATTTACTCTTTGATCTCTTAGAGTGACTAGTGACAATATTTCCCCTGAACCACAGATATTTTTTATTGTTAAACAAATTCTCCTTAGCAACACCATATGAAATGTATGGAGGTAAGTATGGAGAACTTATCTGACTGGCATTATAGTGTCAAGGGTTTATACCTATGGCTTATGAAATTTTCTTTTGTATTTTTTTGCTCCCTATCTACTTCCCCATCTATTTAGTGTAACTTTCATTCATATGCATCAGCATGATTTTAAGACTGTAAATTCCCTAATAGGAGATTGTGATCTTGATTTTAGCTCTTCTTAAACTCAAACTTCAAGGGTTGGCCAGTAATTCACCAAATGCATCCACTCCTGACTCATCACCAAAGAGAAAAAGGACACGACAAGTGAACAGTGCAAGTTCATCGCAGCCATCATCTCCTCATCCCCCTTCATCTGCGAAGAGAAGGCGGTAACAATGTAATCTCTGTTGAGGTGATTAATGTACAGTTTAAAGAAGTAAATTATATGTATCAGTTTCAATAGTTGCTATCATTTGATGATAACTCATTGAAGGCATAATTAAGAATTTATAGGTAGTTGTTGCTTAGTAAGCAAGAAAGCAATTCTTTTTTTTAAAAAAAAATTTATTTTGTATCTATCAAGGTGAGGAATCTTTAGATTATTTGGTGTTTGAGGTGTTTCTTGTTGATTCATATGGATATTTATTAGCTTATCTCCTACTTTACTTATTGAATATAGAATAATTTTGTCTTTTACTTTGTCTTTGAAAGTAGCTCTTCATAATACACTTTTTCTGGATTTTAACTGTTGAAATTGCTGAAGAAGGGGAAGAATTATTCTTTTCTTTTGAAAACTCTTTGTATAAAAAATTGATGGAGCAGTATTCTCCTTTTCTGTGATAATCAGTAAAATTTACTGCCTGTAGTATTTCTTATTACCATCTTAAATGGGTTGGAATTCTTGAAAATTCAACAGATGAAAGGACTGCCCTAGTGATTTGAAAATTTATTTTACCTTTCATGCTCAAAACAAGGTAAAACACTGTTGAAGTGTTTTCTGGTTTTCATTTATTCTGGTCTGATGGACTCAAATCTTAACTTGTCTCCAGTAAAATAAGGGTTTGAGTTTTGACAAGGAGGTTCACCGACTCTGGTTGTATATGTACCTCCATTGTCGTATTCTGATAGAGGGAAGGTCCAAAAGTAGGAGTTTATATACATTTGGAACTGTTAACAAGAGTGTTTTTGGAGTTTTGATTGTTCAAGTACCAAGAATTGTGAGAATCTTAATTATATATGTATATAACATAGAAGGTACTATTACATGTTAGGAATTTATTAATTAAATTGTCAGAAACTACAAAACCATTGTTTGTCTGCTGTTGTTTTTAAAATGGTGAAACAAGTGATTGCTTTATACATTTTAGTTGTGCTTCTTGTAAACAAGGTGGTTTGCAGTCTGAAATTGGCTAATTTCATTCTTTTCTTTTTCAACATTAGCAAGTGGAATAGTTTTATTTTTAAAAACTTCCTGGTAGCATCCATCAATCTATCTAACCTTGCTTTCTAAGAACAATAAGTAAATGATGACATGTATTCTGGATTCCCTTGTTCCTTGTGCTCTCAAATAATCTTATGATTATAATCTTTTCATGTGGAGAAAAAATTTTGAGGATTATGAACTGGCTTATGTTGCTCTGACATCCTCATTCATCCTCTTCACCTCTTTTGGGACAGAAGGCTGAAACCATCCCTAAGCACTTTAAAATATAGATGAGATAGAGTTGCATCGTAACTTTGTTTTATAGCTTTATTACCAAAACTTACTCAAAATTGCTTAATGAGTAAAAATTCAATAAAAAGTGAGCTTTTTTAAATCTGAAAAATTCACAATTGTTCTTATTTACACTTGAGATGGACATAAACTTTGGCACTTGTGAGTGGCACCAAGTAACATTCCTTTCATCATTGAAATGCAAGCAACTTCAAACTGGGACTATGGTTCAGAGCTCCCTTAAAGATTTTCTATGACAAAGATCATAAGTCTTTGATCTTTTTTCCTCTTTTAATTCTTATTTTGTCGATCCATGAGCCACCTTTCCACCTTCTGGATTTTAGTGTACATCCAGTGAATGTTTGTTTCGATTGTCTCTAGAATTTTCTTACTGGATAATTGAATTAGGCGCATTCTCTGATGTTCGTCAAAGAAATCTTTGACCTGCAAGAAGAGTGTGAGAGTGGAGAAGTGGCGTTAATAATGTTTAGGCAAATAAAAACATTGGTGTGAATTAATAAAAACAAACTTTCAAATAGTTTACACTGCAAGGCAGCAAGCCGTTCCATTTGGGATCTAAAATTGAAACCAGTCGCGCTTTTTAGGCAATTGGTTCCATTCACTTCAGCTTCTCGTCGGATGTCTTTAATAGAACAACTTTCGATTCCGTGGCAAACGAAATCCGGTATTACTTTGGTTGTACTTCGCTGTGTTCTATAATTGTTAGAGAAAGCTCGCACCTTTCAATCAGTCAGATGCAGTACTAAAACCACGCAGATTGCTTGTTTTTGCGTTGGTTTCTCACTGCCTCCATGCGAAATATTCCTTCATTCTGATTGGCCAGTGTGGGAAAATAAGGATGAGTGATCGATATGCACTCAGCGCTATGTGGGCCGCTTACTGTGGGATTTAAACTCGTTTTATTTACTAATGCAATGACGTTGAACAATTATGCAGTGACGAATTGATAAGACTGTCTATGTAGCTGCTGAAACAACACAACTTCTACAAAAAGTTTTGTTTTTACCTTTCTAAGGTCTTTTCGTGTGTTGAGATTTTCTGTTGTTTTTTCTAAGAGAAATGCGACTGTTCTTGATTCATTACCAAACCTAGAGAAAAAATGTTTAATCAGTCAGTGAGCTGAACAAACAGAATTCATCATCCGCCGTTCTGTAAAAGACCACAGACGTTGTTAAAATGTAGTAAGTGCGAAAAGTTTCGCACGAAGCGCCGGCGAGTGTGCCACTAACGTTCTTCGCACATTTTGACGCCTTCTGTGATCTGTTACCAAACAGACGCACGGTAACAAGGATATCTATATGTTCCATAAAATAAAGAAGAAAAATATTGTTATTGGTGATGTCATCTATGCGTCCGTCCTCCAATAGATCATAAGTAAATAACCTATCAAAACGCACGTATTATTAAGCTTACAAGAAATAAAAATACTTCCTTCTGGTGTCTCACCAACATTAATATTAATCGTTATTCAGCTGCCAAGAACTTTCCCGCACCCATGACGAGTCATCCTTTATGAGGATATCATTCAGAACACGCATTTAAAGAAAAGATCAGGGAAAAAGATCTTTTAATAGTTTTGAGGAAGTCTAAGATGAAAAGAAATCGCTCTTATTGTTTCATTCACTATACCTTTTAACTATTTTTTTGAAGTTCTTGTCAAAAAATTTCCAAGCCAGCCGTCGTCCATCAGGGTTACTCGCCACAGTCCCAATAATTTGAATGAAGTCTTGGGGGCGGACCTCGGTGCCGCTCATCAAAACTTTCTTTAATAATCTATTACACAGAGGAAGACATTGCATTAAGTTCGTTAACAAGTTTCAAGAGTAATTTTTCTAGAACGTTTGGTTTGGAATGAAATTGGTAGAGCATTCACTCTGAAGTCAACTATTAAAAAACTGCACGCGATTATTTCACGGACTAGGGTTGTAACAGAAATGCACTGCTCTACTTCCTTGCTTAACAGGCCCCTAAATAACTGCGGGAGTGATCTGAAACAGTGTGTCAGAGAGTAGCAGACCTGTGCTACTTAGTGTCACCCTCTGGGTGCCTCCGCACTCATTAGTGTCTAGTCTATTTCTGGGAGATCTCTCGTATGAGATTTGAAAGTATGATCACCATCATCGTCATTATCATTGTCATTCTCAAATCGGGTTTTCCGAGCTCAGTCCTAAGTAAATAAGTGCATGAAAGCATGCATGAATGAATGAATGAAGGAATGAATGAATAATGCGGGTTTTGAACCTCCTACCTTTTCAAAACGTTTTTATCCCGTGTAGCACCTAAAGCCGAGATGATCTTTTCTCTCTCTGCTGCATTTTTGCATTCCTTGTATTTTCTCCATAGAATTTCCCACTCAATTTGGCCACCGTATTTAACAGCTGTGTAGTAAATAATCTTCCTAAGGTGTGGCATAATGGGTTTGCTTCTATAAACAAATAAATTTTTAAGAGTTTTTAATTGATTACGAGAATATAGTAAACCCGTCAGACCCGGTGGTATGCGACTGTCAAATTTATGACTGTTACACCACCTACGTGTCAACCGCTGTCTGACTTCTATTGGAGAAAAAACAAAATGGCGCTAGTACTTGAATGTTTGAACAGTCTTATAGCAATGTATATTTAAATAGAATGTGCACAAGGTGTTTACTGTTAAGAAGGACTCATGGTTGCCGCTCAGAAGGTGAGCTATGTCTTTTCATTATTTTCACGAACTCGTGTTCTTCCTGGTAAACCAGATTTGCCGACTCAATGATGGTACAGTTCACCAGAGTACCTTGTAGCGAAGCAATGGCACAACCACTTAACGATCCAAAAAAGACAATATATATCTCAATAGCTTAATATCGTTATTATCTGATTTTGTTGTGTAGTTTCATGAAATACCGACATAGCGAACTCCTCAAGGCGTTATGACGTTTTGTCATTTATATGTTCTACTTCCGGTTATGTGAATCAGGCTAATTTTAGGCCAATAAAAAGTAATACACGCCCGTAAATAAGGTAATAATATACATGGGAAAAAATGTGTGCCTCTGATTGGCTGAAAACGAGTGCATTTTTCATGTGCAAAGTTATAACGCGAGTGCAAATTACAAATAGCGCGCGCGTGCTGCCAAAATTTCGTTCCTCATAAATTTTCAAAGGTTACAAATCGCCCTCGCCCAACGGGCGGGTGCAATTTTGTCGCCTGTGAAAAATTTACTCGTGCTTGTTAACACCAAATTGCACTCGAAATCATGTTGTTACCTGTACTAATTTTTCATGTTATAGGAAAGAGATTCAAAATGTAGTGACGTAGCTTCTTGAAAAGATCACAGAAACATTAGGACAAGCACAATTTTCTCTTACCCATTGACCTTTGACCAGTCGTTGAACAACTTTTTGGACTTGTTCACGCACTCTGTGTTACCGTGTGAACACAGAGTAGAGAGGGTCAGATCACGAAGAGATCTGAAAGAAAAGAAGAGATTAATAACTGTGTTATTCAGCAGTTTCCCGTTCTTTGTTAAAATCGACGTAATTTTAAAACAAACTGAGTGATAACTGGACTGCAAAAAGTCCATTTTTTTCCAAATCAATGCTCACAAAGAGTAAAGCGCAGAAATGGTGGGTTGTCGCATGTGAATACTCCAAGCCTCGCAATCCCCGGCGCAATTACGTCACAATTCATTTCCATGCAAGCAAGCAGTCTTAAAGGTTAGATTTGATTGAACGTAAATTCTTACTTGTCAATTAGTTCTCCCGTATCCTTCCATCCAAGGATCATTCCCAAATGCTTTATTTTTTCCACGATAAATTGCTTGTTGCAATTAAAAAATTAAAAAATTTACCAGTCAGCACTAAGAGAAAGTAATGTTAGTACTTGCTACAATAAATACGACAATTTTTCTAAATGATTACTTCGAGTAGTTAGGAGAAAGAAGTGATGAATCTTCGCAAAAGGCGGTTGTGATTTTACAAGTTTTTTCCCTCCAGTCAAAGAACAACGGGAGTATTGGCGACCTGTGCGAAATCCGACACTATAATGTTGCCTAGCAACTAAGTTAATGGTGGGTATTCGGATATTTCCGGGGAATGAACCTCTTTTATGGGTTACGCAGTCTCCCACAGTCGTACCCTTTTTCAAAAGAAAAAGAGGATGATTTTTATGTGTAGGCTTTGTCAAGCGATGAAGAATTCTTTTCTGGATTCATGGGTTGAATCTATCAATGACCGCTACCTGGTACAGCTTGTAGGAAGCTCTTGAGCTCAGCATGTTTCCAATGTAAGCCATCGATCGCAGAGTGACTGCCCATGGTACATACTCAAGTTCGTGGTTGATATACTCAATCATTTGAAATGCAATTTTGTACTCTAGCACGCCCGTTCTGAAGGAAAATAATTTAGATGTTGAAAGTTACATTACAACACATTTCTAAAGGTTAGATCTCTTTAAAATTATCATCTCTTACATTGCTCGAGAGTGGCGTCAGATGAGAGTCCCCAGTGAACTATTATTATCGTAGTCTATCGTCTATCGTAGATATTTTAAACTCGCTCTCGCTTTGGAAAGAAATCCTATGTTGAGAATTTTACTCAGGTAGACGACCTGTGCGATGTCTATTCACTATTCGCGAAAACATTTACAGTCCATCAGGAAAATAGCTTGCAGTCGGATAGTATTTTCCTCACAACAGACAGCCAGGAGTCTAAAAGTAACTTCTGTGGCATTCCCTTTGGATTATGGCTTTTATGACCCATTCGGTGTCTTAGCTCGATTATCTCTTGGCAACACACTACTCAAAAAACAAACTTAAAGACAAACCAACTGACAAAATATAGAAAAACAAGAATAAACAAACAAACACAAAAGAACCAAAGACGAAGCCCTTACGATTAGATCACGTTTCACTTTACCTCGCTAAACTCAGTGCATCGTCTATCAAACCACTCCTGTCTGATGGACTTAGTATCTTGAAGACAAAAATACAAGAAAAAATCGGTTAAGCTAGAATCTCACGTCGGGTAGCTGTCGTTCCGTAACATGCTCGTAGTTTCGGTTCTATCTCGCCGACTGCTTCGTATCTTGAGTAACTATAGCTTTCCTTTAATTTAATTGATTCGATTGCATCTCGCGTAAGTTTAGCTGTCCATTTACTTGATTGTAACGTTTGTATCTCGCACAACTTCAACAGTCCTTTCTTTTATTGTTACGTTTGTATCTCGCGCAACTTTAGCTGTTCTTTCATTTGATTGTTTCGTTTTTGTCTCGCGCAACTTTAGCAGTCTTTTCATTTGATTGTAACGTTTGTATCTCGTGCAACTTCAGCTTTCCTTTCATTTGATAGTTATGTTTGAATCTCGCGCAAATTCAGCATTCCTTTCTATTATTGTTACGTTTGTATCTCGCGCAACTTTAACTTTCCTTTCATTTGATACTTATGTTTGTATCTCGCGCAACTTTAGCAGTCCTTTCATTTGATTATTACGTTTGTATCTCACACAACGTTAGCATTCCTTTCATTTGATTGTTACGTATGTATCGCGCGCAAATTTAGCTGTCCTTTCATTTGATTGTTACGTTTGTATCTCGTGCAGCTTAAGCTGTCCTTTCAATTGGTTGTTACGTTTGTATCTCGCGCAGCTTAAGCTGTCCTTTCATTTGATTATTACGTTTGTATTTCGTGCAACTTTAGCTGTCTTTCCATTTGATAACTACGGTTGTATTTCGCATAACTTTAGCAGTCTTTTCATTTGATTATTACGTTTGTTTCTCGCACAACTATAGCTGTTCTTTCATTTGATTGTTAGGTTTGTATCTCGTGCAACTTTAGCAGTCCTTTTATTTGATTGTTACGTCTGTATCGCGCGCAACTTTAGCCGTCCTTTCATTGGATTGTTACGTTTGTATCTCGTGCAACTTTAGCATTCCTTTCATATGATTGTTACGTCTGTATCGCGCGCAACTTTAGCTGTCCTTTCATTTGATTGTTACGTTTGTATCTCGCGCAACTTTAGCTGTACTTTCATTTGATTGTTACGTTTGTATCTCGCGTAACTTTAGCTGTACTTTTATTTGATTGTTACGTTTGTATCTCGCGTAAACAGACTTATAGCCAAATCTAATTGAGACCTGGTCAATTTGAACGCCTTAAATTGCATATTTCGCCTACTTTGATTTTTCGTCAGTTTTGTTATATTCTTCAAAAATTTTCTGCTGTGATTAGTTTTGCGACTTGCTGGATTTCTGACAAATATTGATAAGGGTAGCTGGTGCATAAAAAATCTTTTCTTGCAACTGACAGTTGACTTTAGAGGTCAATACCTTACCGTGTGATTGTGAAGTAGTTGCTGACTCAGTCCTTTCCAGTTTTCCTCGTCATAGTTGACTCGATAAAAGCCTGTTTGTCCTACGTTTGCCTTAAACCAACCAGACTTGCTGAGGGATAGCTGAAATGTAACTAGGAATTGAAAGCATATATTTCTGTAAGCGTCAAAGACAGAGCGACTGGAACAGAGCAATCGTTAGTTGAGAATAAGAAGCAATCAGGGATTGCATTGGTTTTCCTCCACTGTGCACTGTGATTGGTCTAGAAAACTCAAGCCACTTCTCAACCAATCAAGTCTAAGATGAAAACAATGGCGACTTGGTCTCTTGTCTTTGCTGCACTTGAGGCCATTTAACTATATGCACTTGGATTTCATTGGCTGCTTATGATTACGTTTTTGTCTTAATTGTCAACGTAAACGATACGTCAATGGGAACACACAGTATTGGAATTCTCACCTGAAGTCTTGTTCATCCAAACTGTATTGATACTATCATGTGAATCCCTGGTAATATATGTCAGCGGAATGAACCATCCAGGTCTGAATAAGGGATGAAGAAATGTGAGATTTTGGGATTAGCTTTGGGTTAATGTTTACACAAGCTGCTTTGAAGTAAAAAGTCTGCCAAAACATATTTTTCATAATAGAGAATGTTGGGAAATGTCTGGGAAAGTGATGGCCGATGTTAGTCTCAAAAATAATTAAGTGTTTTAAAGCGAAAGTCAAGAACGTGTGGCGATTTAGATGTTCGCTGAGGTCTGCTTTTCCATTCTAAAACAGTTGAACAGTTGTTTTAAGCAAATCTCTAAATCAAAATCTCATAAAGTCTCAACGTTTGACGCGTTGTTTAAACATGCCCCCAAAAATTTTATTGCACGTGGCTTGGTGACCTCTATTGAAAGGTATTTGCTATGCTTCCAAAGTGCGAAAATAACTATAAAGAAAATCCCAACACTCGGAAAAGATGACAATAAACTTACGTTTCTGTATGTCCATCTTTTAAATGTTGCGAATTAAAATCTCGGAAGAATCTTTTCTGACTCGCTGTGTACGACAAGCGGCCATCTTTTTTCTGAGTGTTGTCGCTGATTATAGATATAACAGGAAATCCTTTTTGGCTCACCCATGGAGCCATTACTGTTCCAACATCTAAATGATTTTCAGTGGCCTGTGTATGAAGTCAAAGGCTCTATTGGGTTTTGTTCTGTGTTACAGTACTAATCCTGAGTTATACATTAAGGTCAAGTCATGAGAATACAGGGAATTACCGCAGACCAAAACAGCTTTGTCTAAGAAGTCTGACGCGCTGTTGACTATCGAAACTTTCTGTCGTGTTTTTCATCTATTCAACACCAGCAATTTCAAAAGGGGGGGGGGGGGG